ATGAAAGCAAATAAAATGTTTATTTTCTTTTGTTTCCTTTGCCCTGGGAGGGCCTAGATGGAAAGCATCCTGCAGCATTTTAGACTGCAGAGGCACACAGACTTTTTAGGAGGTTTACTGTATGGATCATATTCAAGAATGTGAAATAACTCAAAATGAAATTTTAGGAAAGGAGACTTGAAGATAGAGATGTGAAACTTAAGTACAAGGATCATATAAGAATAAAGTGATGAATAAAGTGTTCACTTATCTGTCTAAAGAACAGATTCATCACACCTCCTAGAGTCTTATCAGACCATGGGCAGAAGGTCAGGTACTCATTGTCCAGGAGGTTCCACTATGGTGCAACCCGTTTGTACGTCCAATTACCTCTACTCAGGTGTCAACCTGGAGAGTGAACTCCTGCAGAGGAGGGATGGCTGGGCCAGTCTGACGGTGCTGGGCAAGGTCTTTCTTCATGACCACTAGCTGGTTTGGGTCCAGTCTTCAAGTTCATCTTACCAGTCTGCTCCCCAGCCTATGGACCCTGTTATTTGCGCAGATGTCCATGCCTTGTTAGGATCCATTACTCTCCACACCAAGAGGCTGGCCCTTCAGTCTCTGTCAACAGCTCTGGAAAAGGTCAGTTGCTCATCTTTAGCTCTTATCTGCAACCAGGTGTGCGCGATTCTCAACACCACACTCAAAAGTGGACTTGAAGAGGCAAGATGGCGGTGGCCACGCAGGGCCGCCGCCTGCTCTGGCTGGTGACCACTCTGGAAGCGGGCTCCAGGACTCTGGTGCCGGATCCAGATGACCCCCTGACCTCTCGCGGGCAGCTGGGGCCATGCTGCGCGTCTCTGGGGTGGCTTCCCTGTGGCCATGGTGAGAACAGCTTCAGGAGCCCAAGGCTGAGGAGCGCGAGTGTTACCCGAGCCTGGAGGCCACGTGGGAGCCGCTGTGAGTGCAGCTGGTAGCGGGGGAGCAGAAGCGCCAGCGGGGAGCAGCTCGTGGAAGAGCCAGCGCCAGGAGCGCAGGAGCGGAGGCAGGAGCCAAGGGAAGACGAGTGCACCGCCGGCTGCAGGCTGAAGCCAGGAGCGCCCGGAGTCCCATGTGGACCCAAGGAGCCTGCAGGACTGGGAAAAGCGGCACTGCAAGCATTTCAAGGAGCAGAAACAAAGGAGGAGGACCCAGCTCCTGCACTGAGTTCTTGCCACTTCTTGCCTGCTGTCTGATTGCCCCTCCCCTCCAAAAAACGACGTTAATTGCTACAACCTGGGCAGCTCTGTCTCGCTTCCCGTAAATCTCCTAAGTGAGGGCCTTCTTCGCTCTGCCCCCATTCAAGGTCAGCATGTGTGTCAGATAGGCAGGCTGGACCATGTACGGGGAACACTCTTTCCTGGGATGTTCCAATAGGCAAGATCACGTCTGCTCTTGTATTTCCTATCTTTCACTGGAGTCTATTTGGAGCTGTTTGAATGTGTGTAATATTCAACCTGATTTATCTTATTTTGACTTCACTGAAAAATTATTTAGAAGATCTAACTTAACTGAAGCCAGAGTCTGGGATTGCCAGACGAAAATCAATGGTTTTATATGTTAGACAAATACAAGTGATTCTGTGGTAAATATTTTTGTATATCTGGCTAAATACATGAAGACAAGTAGTGATCTATTTAATTGCGCCTTCAGTGTTGTTTCTGAGCATCCCTTCATTAAACAAAAATTCTGATAAATTTATTTCCTGCCCTAATTTTAAACCTATGAAGCTCATATTTTAAAAATAGAAAAACAAAAACAAAACTAAACACAAGCATAGCCCCGAATAACAAAATGCTCTATAGTATTAACACCCTGTGTGTCTATCCATTGCCCCACTCCCCAGAGAGAGCTTTCACCTATTCTGCTCAAATATGTTGTAACTGTTCATGTTTATTTATTCTTTAATTTGTCCATTTCAGGACACTGTCTATTAACTTCCTGCTCAATAATCAATTTCACATTCTTATACCCATTCAATCTTGTCTTTCTTGTTCTCCCACCTCCTAATTTTTACGGTTCTATAAATATTTTAGCTTCCATCTCATCTGTCTTTATAAAAATTTTAAAATACATCCAAACTTCTCTTTCTTCTCATCAGTGTGAACATCATATCTGGTGTAATCATATTATAAGACGATGCTATTGGGGGACCCTCTTCCTCTTGCCCTGCCAGATACCGACAGCTCCCATCATGTTTTGTCGTTGCCAAGGCAGCTGACACGTCACACCTGCACCTTAATTGTACATTCTGGGCTTAGTAGGTCGATTCACTCGAGTATTTGAAAACTATTAAACATCCCTGAACTGAGTCACTGGCTGCTGGTACAATCAGGTGAGTTCTTCCACTTTAAAGGGGACACTGGGTACAATTCAAGAACTTTCGAGACCTCCACTATTCCATTCGGAAGCCTCTATCCCTATATGACTATCTGAATTTAAATTTAAATGAAAGGCAAATAATATTTAGAATTCAGTCACACTAACCATGTTTCACTGGACATAAACTTGAGCAAGCTCCAGGAGATAGGGAAGGACAGGGAAGCCTGGCGTGCTGCAGGGGGTTGCAAAGAGCTGGACATGACTTAGTGACTGAATGAAAATGACCCCCATATTTCAGGTGTACAACAGCTACATGTGGCTACCATATCAGAGAGTTCGTATTTGGAAAACTTCCATTCTCATGGAAATGTCTATTTCTGCATTGCTAGACGGTGGGTTCTCAGTAGGTGAGATGAGGAAGGTGAATCAGATGATTTACAAGCTGCCTCCTGACTCTAAACTTAAACAGTTCTGTCACTGAATGCCGTTTTTCCCAAAGTTGCTGAAGAACCCCTCCCACAAAGCCAAGGCTGGTTTTCTAAAAAGTGGCAGAAAAAAACAAGAGGGGTTTTCAGGGAAAGAGGGCTCAAGATAGAAGGAGAGAAATTTAATCTTACCAGAGATCTCCTTCAGATAAGGAAGTGGGGGGACTCACCAAGTGTTCAGGCTCAGTTTATAAGCTGCCTTTCCATCACTGTTATGTGTGTTCATGAAACTTGTTCACGGTTAGTCTAGCACATGCCATGGGATGTCTCATTTTTCCTTTTCAAAGTTCTCCCTTCACTTAGCCATTTTTACTTTATTTTGTATTCAAACTTGTGTGCCTTAAAACAAATGAGAACCGCATAACCCAAGGAGACTGAGACTTGGTGCCAGCAAAGTCAGAAATCAGAAATGATTTGCTTTTTGTTAGTTTCACGACACTAATCATTCTGGTGGCAGCAGCACTGAAAGCAGAGAACTGATGTGTGCAAATAAATTCCATGCATAGGAACAAATTAAAGGAGATTATGTGTGTAATTTGCCTGTTTCTGAGCCAAGTACCTGGAGATGCTTGCTAATTAGCTCCATAGTGTTATATCCAGAGGACCAGTGTGCTCAGAGCAACAAGGATATCTCAGATCCCTTGTGTCAAGAGGCAGCCTCATCCTGGCACAGTGTTTCCCTGCAACTACTGGCTCCCAGTCCTGTGGGAAGGCAAATGGGGGTGAGGGGGTGTGGGTAGGATGGAAGAGATGGAGAAAGAGAAGGACTTAAAATTATATCATGGAAGGATCTAAAATAGCGAAGGGAGAAGATTATTGAAGCAAATGAGTAAACATTATCTTTCCCACTATCATGCTGTTGTTCAGTCACTAAATTATGTCTGTTTTGTGACCCCATAGACTGTAGGCCACCAGGCTCCTCTGTCCATGGGGTTTCCCAGGCAAGAGAGAGAAGTTGTCATTTCCAGTTGCCATACTGGGGAGAGTTGCCATTTCCTTCTTCAGGGGATCTCCCCAACCCAGGGATCAAACCCATATCTCCTGCTTGGCAGGTGGTTCTTTACCACTGAGCCACGTGGGAAGCCCTCCCACTACTATAAAAATAGGAAAAACATCACTAGCACACCAGCAGTATGCAGATGGCAGGCACTCTTAAGTGAGGTCTCTAAAAGGATTCAAGTTTCTGATTCCATGTCTTACTGCCATTCTGTCATTCTATGCACCTAACACAGTGCCTGGGACATATTAGGTGGTCAGTAAATACAGAATGGAATTGGTCCTACTGCATTGGTCTCGAGGCATTCACAGAGTTTCATGGCAGCACAGAGATGTGTTGGCAATCAGGGAGTTCTGTAACCTTAGCATCAGACCTCACTGTGATGTCATTCTAGGGATATGGACCGACCTCAGCTCCTGCAGGGTCTCTGAGCTTCCGTTTCAGTGAAATGGAGATCATATTACATGTCAGCTCATACAGAAAGCTGTATGAGCTTTCTGGTTTTTTGGTTTTTTCATTTTCTTTCTTTAGCAATGCATACAAATCTCTGCGGTTCTACACTCAGAAATTATTAAAATAATATGAATGTATTTATGAAATATGTCATCTTGAAGGCCTTGCCTTTGATAAGCATAAGATTGTTAAAGGCAATGAGGGTAATTTATTTGAAGAAGAAAGTCAGATTTATAGACTAAATGGTTTTCAATGGCTTTTACCATGCTATGGGCTTCCCTGGTGGCTCAACAGTAAAGAACCCACCTGCCATCGTGGGAGATGTGGGTTCAATCCCTAGATCAGGAAGATCTCCTGAAGAAGGAAATGACAACCCATTCCAGTATCCTTGCCTGGGAAATCCCATGGACAGAGGAGCCTGGTGGGCTACAGTCCACGGGGTCAAAAAAGAGTCAACACGGCTTAGGGACTAAACAACAGAAACAATAGCCATATTATAGACTTTTATATAATTTTCCACTAGTCCTTCATCATAGCCAAATCCTACCTTCTCTGCCAGGCTCTGGTCCCCAACGTCTGACCCCTTCCCCTCTGGTTTCCGATTGGATTTTCTAGCGGGTCATCCCAGCGAGAGTTTGGAACAGAGCGAGATCAGGGCATGATCCCCTAGCTGTCTCCTGACCTCAGTGTCTCAGTTGTCATAGGAACCCTGCACCTCTAGAATGATCTAAGTCACGCGGTCTCAAGTTCTCAGCGTCAGCTCTCACCAGACTTCCTTTCCTCACCTTGTCCCTTCAGGCCTCTGAATGGTAAGCAGTTTTCCACTTTCATTAATCCTTGGGAGCTTCGGCATCACTTGTACAATCCAACTTCATCTCTATAGTCACTTAATTATGTTCTCTTTGAAATTCCAACTTTTTGTTGTATTCTGAGGCCCTGTGGGATCTTTGAAGTGCTCAGCTTAGAAACAGGTCCACAACCACTTCTGTTTGTTCTCATTGCTAGGTTTAAATGGTGCCAAACAGTCTCTACCAGAGGCAGAAATGGATGGAAGCAAAGTTCCCTGTATGCAGAGCTATCTTTATCCAATGAGTGTCACAGGGCTGGGGGTGAGAGCAGTTCAATTCAGCATCAAAACAGAAGCATCAGTGTGATGACCTGGTGAATCTAGTTTTAACCTTGTATCCAGGTCTAGTAAATTTTTTTGACCTGATTTTTGAACCAGGTCCCAATGTTGCTCCATAGTATAATCTACCCCTTTCTCTGCAAATCTCTGTGAACCCGCAGATACCCTGCTCGTATTTCCCATTACAATCCTCAAGCCACTCAAAAACTGAAGCCAAGGGTACCTCCTATCACCACTTCTCTCGGGTCCCAGTTGGTTGCCTAGCTGTCCACTACTGTCCTTCTTCCACTGCATCCAGAGTCATCCTCATGCTGCCAAGTATGAACACATGTGCACCTACTCACACAGGGAAGGAACAGGGAAGCCTGATGTGTGGCAGTCCACGGGGTCGCAAAGAGTCAGATGGGACTTGGTGACTGAACAACAACAACAACACTTACTCACACACTGGAAGTTTGGAAAAGCAACTCCTCCAGATTCAACCAGGTCACAACATGTCTTGCTGGTCTCCCAAAAGATGCACGAAGCTTCTTATTCTTCCTGATTTAATCTTCTTTACCTCTTCCAGGACAGAAGCTGTCATTGATGGATTCCAGAAGGGTTTGTGATATTTTTACTGGAATTTAAGACACAGAGGTCTCTCCAATGACTGTCCCCAAAAAGCAGTGAGGGAAACTGTTTTGAGTCTGAAGCTAAAGGCAAATTTATACCCTAGAAAAGACTTCTTACAGTTACAAATGCAAACATTCAAGAGAAGTGGAACAGACAAGAACCCTCTGAAAGCAGCTGTTATGTAACATTTGCTGGCCGAAATCTGATTCCTTCTCTGATTCTAATACTGCAGTTTAAAGGAAGGTTAAAGGAACATTTATATTCAGAATTCTCTTGAGAGTTTGGGACATTTTAATACAGAGTAGAATTTGATGAGTCCTTAGATATTAATAATGTCATTTGCTGCTCTTTATTGTTCTATGGATGAAATGTTTCCCAGGAAATGGACCTTGAAAGTGGGACCAATAAGGACTTGGGTTCTCAGATGAAACAAACAACATCTGTGCCTTCTGGAAAAGAATTGCTTGTATAGTCTTAGTTGTCATATGGCAGCATATAATGGCCTAGAGATGAAACAAAGAATATAGAATCTTAGAATTCAGTCTCCTGACTTCAGGAGGACGTCTCCTTGAACATCATAAGGGAACATTCCTGAAATTTGAACATTGAAAGAAAACGAGTGAGTGAGTGAGTGAGTGCATTGGTCAGAGTAGAAAGCAGGATGGAGCTTTGGTGAGCCCTATGTCAGCTACTTCCTCATTTTCATGGTGGGGAATTACACGTACTTTTCATCATTCAGTTCTCACAAGGACTCCATGTACTAGGAATAATGTAGTTTAACAAGAATGAAAATAAAGAAAGAAATTAAGACTCAGATTATAAATAAATTGCCCAATTTCACACCATTAGTGTCAGATGCAGAATTTAAAATGTGGTCCATTGTCTCTGGTAGATTTCATGATCAACCTAAATTCTGCATCCTCTCTGTACCCACATCTTTTGCCATTAAGCGCTGCCGAGCTCCATGGAGAGCAGGGCACTCCTCTGCTAGGTTCTACCATCTAGCCTCATGTGGGCAGGAGGACTCTGAAAGTGACGGTCTGTGAGTTTGGACTCTGACCTCAGCCAGACTTTATGTCTTTACACTTGTGCTCCAGAGTCTCTATCACCATGAAGAAAAGAACATGCCTGGGCTGCCCACAGTAACAAGGAGAAGGGTGGAAGACAGGTGAACAGACAGAGGCTCCCTAACCAAGTGCAGCCTAGATGTCAAGACAGCTGCAAACATGTGAGTCTATCCATGGTCCTTCCAGACTAGAACACTGTTTACTCTACATTTAGATGTATTATTGCATGTCATCGAAATTCATAGCAGTTCATAACGGATGAAGAGCTAATGAATGCATTGTTTTGGAGTTAGACTACTGGTTTTCAAGAGTTTACCAATGAAGCCCATTCATCAGATCAATGTTTACTAAGAAGCCTGAATTGGGAAGCAGATATAAGTAAGCAGATTATTATGGTTTCAACCAAAGGTAGCTTTATTCTTAGCCACCCATGAAATGTGTTCTAACCTAGCTCTTTCTATCCATGTGGATACAAAGAATGGCTTGAGGAACCTTCAGCTCAGGAGGTGGTTGAGAATGTATCACTTTTTGCTCACATCCTAGGACTGAAAGTTCATCCTCACAACTATCAGATGCTATGACAATAACTCTCTGATAGACATTCTGTCCTAGGTGACTTTACTGCAAAAATTCAATTTCCAATCATATTGATTCTGCTTTTTTTGAGCCACATTGATGAGACCCATCTAGGCTTGGGATATAATTATAATTGCTTTTGTGAATTTAGTAGCTTGATGGCTCAGATACAGGCATTTTCAGAGCCTCTACAATCTCTCATCTTAAACCAAATATATGTGCCCATGAGAGAAAGAATGTAGAAATATGATAAAGAGCATGGACATCAGAGCTGAGAATGAACCCTAAAACTGTCCCAACCTGTGTGGCTTTGGGCAAAGTTCTAGACCTTGATTATTCTCATCTGTAAAATGGAAATAAAAATACCATACTTCCTTTCACATGAGATAAAATAAGGGAAGTAATGAACATGGTTCCTGGCACAGAGTAAAGGCTCAGTGAGTGTAGCAAAAAGGGAAGAAGACAGTACAGCTAACTCAATGTGGGCAAGTGAGGGCAAACTCAGAATCCAGAGCCTAGCCTCTTCCATGAGCTGCCAATGGGGCAAACAGTGGGATTTTGCTCTGAGAATTCTTTATTCATGCTGAATCTCTACAGACCTCCTCTCTGTCATTCATGTCTATGCCACCTCCTCGATTACCAAAGAAACAGCTCTGTTTACAATATGTGATCCCAGGACTTCCCTGGTGGTCCCGTGGTTAAGATTCCATGCTTCCACTGCAAAGGCAAAGATTTGATCCCTGACTGGGGGAACTAAGATTCCCTCATACCATGTGATGTAGCCAGAAAACGAAAATCAAATAGGGAGTGATTAAAAAAATAATATGTGAGCCACATTAACTGTGTATTTCCGAGAGGTGAGCATGCTACTTTAATTTACATATATATATAAATTAAATATATTATATATAACTATACATTTATTTATGTATTATATGTACTTATATATTAAATATATGTTTATCTATTGCATACTTTTATTTAAACTATATTAAATGAGCCCCCTGGAGGAGGGCATGGCAACCCACTCCAGTATTCTTGCCTGGAGAATCCCATGAGCAAAGGAGCCTGGTGGGCTACAGTCCATGGAGTCACAAAGAGTTGGACATGACTGAAGCAACTTAGCATGAATGCATGCATATCAAATTATATTATATTAAATAATGATGACAGTGGTGGTTTAATTGCTAAGTCACATCTGACTCTTTGTGACCCTATACACTGTAGCCCATCAGGCTCCTATATCCATGGGATTCCCTAGGCAAGAATACCGGAGTGAGTAACCATTCCCTTCTCCAGGGGATCTTCCCAACCCACAGATCAAACCCATGTCTCCTGTGTTGGCAGGAGGATTCTTTACTACTAAGACACCATGGAAGCCCATATTAAATAATATTATGTATCATATATCTGCACTTCACAAATTAAAATTGTATTCTGATTACCCTGAAGTTCTAGATTTTTTTGTGACAATGCATCTATTAATTGGTTCGAATAAGAATAAAAACATCTGCATAAGTTCTCTTAGTTGCATGTGCCTCCCTTTCTTTCTGTCTCTCTCTCATAATCATACAGCAAAGTGTAACTGGGAATTTAAAATTAAACTGACATCAAATTCCACCACAGGTTACAAGTCAAAAACGTCTCTATGCATGTAATGCTTTCCATTTAAAGGTAGATGCTGAGATACAGTTTAATAAGCAAGAAATTGATGGAAGTCGCTGTCCAGCACTGGCTCGCATTATTATGTGCCCACTCACTTCTTCATTACCCCTGGCCCTTCACACCAGGGAAGCAGGTAGATTTATGAGTAAGAAGCCCAAGAATTAAGTGAAGAACAAGGTGCAAAGAGCTAATAGTAGATTTCCAGCTGGTCAGTCCCCTTTAATGGTGAGAGGGAAGTGAGAGGAAAGCCAGGCAGAGTGACTCATCAGATCCCAGGACGTGGGAGAATTAGATTTAAGTGAAAAAGGATGTTTCCTAGGAAACTACATGATCGGCTTGTGAAACATCAAACAAGTGCAATTTCCTCACAACAACCATGACTAAATTGATCTACCTCAGCCGGCTTTATCAGTAGGGGGGAGATTAGCTGCCTTTTGTGCTGTGTTAGTTACTATCATCAAATTGTCTATTACGTGACAGCTTCAGTTGCTGTGTTTCTGACCTTCTATAAGGACAGCCGTGGCATTTGCTGTTATGTAATTGGAAAACAGGTTTTTTCCCTCCCTATTTCCCATCTCTCCCCCAAGCCCCCTAAACCCCTGGAACACACACCTTTTCATCACCCCCTTTCTAACTTCAATATAAGCTTCTGACACTGTCGTTGCAGCAAACCACAGGATTCAGTCATTAGAATCACTAAAAATATCCTCCCAGCTTTAGTCATCCAGGGATCTAAATTAACTTACTCTCTTTTAACCATGACAGTGAATAATCTGTAATTCACACTAATAGGGCAAAGGAGGTCAGTCTGGGTGAGAAAATGAGAAAATGGTCTGAAAATAAGTGGAAATACTTTGAAAAAAATGGAGCTCATTACCAAAAGCACATGGAGTGTTTAACTCAAGTACATTAACCATATAGAGTCTAATCAAAATCTTTAGTTTAAAAAAAAGGTTGATAATCAGCATGCTAATTGATCAGAAAGCAGCACCTTATTGTTCAAAGGAGTTAATTATTCATAAAATTATGGAGATTTTCTGGAGTCACAGATTTGAATCCTGTGGTTTGGAGAAGGGAGCCACTGGCCTCTCTCACCACCTAGGGACAGCTGGAATTCATACCTGGATAGGGCTTTGAGGCTCTCTGCTTCTTGAATGACAACAATTGTTATTATATTAATGGAAATTTACAATTGAATCCACTTGCTCAGTCAACAAAAATTTGTTTAGTGTGTAGCATACATTGGACAATGTTTTGATTGTTAGAACTAAGAAAGGGATGACCTCCCCTTCCCCAAATCACCCTCTAGTAGAAGGAGGGAGACAAGATAAAAATTCACCAAACATGTCAATTTCAGATACTGGTAACCTCTACAAAGAAAATAAAGGAAGGTGATCTGGTCAAGTGACCCAAGTAGGTACATAATTTGCACTCATGCTTCTCAAACTGTCTATGTTGAGGACGTATTATTCTTACACACACCACCTAATCCATTATGGGCCAAAACTTTTGTAAAATACAATACAAATAATTTACCAAAAATTGAATCCAATTTTTGAAGTTCTTAGATTCAATAGATATAAAATCACTTCATCAAATTTCTGCAGAATTTTCTGAATGCCTATTCTCAATGACTATTCTTTTCTAATCACAGACCACTAACAGCAAATGGACAGCAGAGACCGCTGTATTCATACCACGCTTTGAGAGTAACTTACACAGGGGCTAGTCAGCGACACTTACCCTGCAGGTCCAAACACTTGGTCTCATATTGGAGACTAGTCACCTACTATAGCACACTGCAGACTCACAATAAATGTCAGTCAGTTAGCAGTGGTTTGGTTAGCACTGTAATGTTTCAAATTATTTCAGATTCTTAATTTTTTGGATCTACCCTGGATTTATAGCTATTTCCACTTTTAATATTGTTTCTTAGGCAAAGATATGTTTAGAATTCCAACTAACCATCTTCAAAACAATTTTTCTTAATGTAGCTACTACATATTCACTGCTTTACCCAGCGCCAGGTATTATAGTAAGGATTTTACATATATAATCTCATTTGAATTTCAAATAACCCTAAAAGCAGAAAGTGTGATTGTCCTTTCTTACGTTAGGAAACAAAAGGTCTTACATATGTGCCCAGAGGTGTCATTTTTCCATTTACATTTTTTAAGCTTTCAGATTATGTAATTGTATTATCAAGATGAAAACTGGACACTCTCTGCCAGTGATGAAGTTCATTGAAATTCCACTAGTTACCTGTGAAGTAGTGTTGTGGAGAGTCCAGAGAGTGGGAGGAAGCCATCTCTGCTTTCTTCCCTTCTCAGTGATGGTGGAAGATCCAGGAGGGAGTTCAACCACAGACAGCAGGCAAGTGCCGCAGTTAGCTGGAGCTCAGGGAAGCGCAGTTTGACCAGGGGCATTAATTGGGGGAAGGCCCTTCTCTGGCTTCGTTTGTTCACTTTTCTATTCCCTTTATTGCCACAGTTCTTTCCTCCACTCCTCGTGGGGTGTTCTAATGGGTCAACACGTATCCTCTTATGTGTGTATCTTCTCAGTTCAACCAGTGGCGTGGCTTCTAAATATTTCCCATATTCTTTCGTCCTCTCGTCCTTTTTTAAAATCAAGCTATGTTACTGTAGTGTTACTGCTAACTCTTGTGGATTTCTGCCATTTTCTTTAACCAATATCACAGAAATGGACACCTACATCCACTTTTACAGAAGCAAATAGAGCTGGGTCAGGCGGTACATCCACACTTCCATGAAAATTGGTCAGTACAGGTAAATTGTTCCCCAGAAGGACCACTCAACAGCCCCACTCCCTTCAGCAGAGCATGAATCCATAAGGACTTCCCTAGTGGTCCAGCGGTTAAGACTTCACCTTCCAAAGCAGGGGTTGCAAGTTCAATCCCTGG